GGGCGGAGGCGGAAGCACTGCAGTCGTGCTGCTGCTGGTGGTGGTCGCGCTGGCCGTGTTGTTGCTGACAACGCACACCACCGTCAGCACTGTCACCTCGCCCCCCGCACCGCCTCCGCACCGCCTCCGCACCGACCCCACCCACCGGCACGCAGATCCTCGGTCGCGTCGCGCCGGTAGCAAACGCCCAACTAAAACGATGATCCACGGCTAACACGATGAAGCACAGCTAAAAACGATGACGCAAGGCTAAAACGACGATGCACACACCATCACCTCTGCGTAGCCGCGCACTTGTGAAGCCGAAAAATGAATCAAACGGTTGCACTCACGTGTCTCTGGTCGTTGTTGAAGTTGGTGTGGTGGCTGCAGCAGCAGCGTTGGCGGCGACGCGCGCGCGAGCGGTGAACGATCGAACGGCGCTGAAACGATAAAAACCTGATCTCAGATGCACTGCAGGTCCCGCGGTGTCGCCGACAAACACGGAGACACACACACCAACACTCTCTCGCACTCACCTCTGTCGTCCTGGGCAGCGGGCAGCTGGGGGGTCTCGTCGTGGGCCAAGCAGGAGAGAAGGAGCGGCGGCTGAGTCGGCACTCCGGTCACGGCGAGGGGACTGGGGCGACTCGGCGGAAACTGACTCCACCGGCGGCGTTCGGTACAGACAGTGCGGTGGGCACACAAACAAACACTGAACACTGGCTGGGCGGCAGGTCGGCAGGTCCAGACCGGCACCGGCTAGACGGACGGACGGACAGCGAGGGAGCGCTTCGGCCGGCGGGCGACAGGCAGCGCCACACGGCAGAGCAGACAGACGGACGCGCGCGTCCCGCAGCCGTACCAACCCCATCAACGCAAAACCGAAAATTTTAAAAAATCTAGGAACTGTCACGACAGGCCAGTTGAGCTCGTGAAATGACCGAAAATTTTAAACTAAACCACGTCATTTCATTACCGTCATCATAATCATGTTAGCATGCCTCCAGCAGCAGAAGGCGAAGGCCAAAATCCGAAGTAAAGGAAAAGGCAGCGGCCACCCTCACTACAGCTCTCTGGAACCGGTTTCGTTCTGCTTATTTCGTTTTCGAGCTCCATTGAAGTACCTTATCTGCGTTCAGGACGAAACATGTCGGGCAGTCATGCTTTTCTTCTTTTGCTTCCGTTTGTCTTGCAGCGGCATACCCCTTTTTTTCGCACCGCACGTTGATGCAGATGGTCATGTTCTCGGAAGGGGAGGGCACACTGCTACGACATTGTCTCATGCGCGCAGGAGAGAGACAGCGAGAGAGAAGCCTCCCCCGCTCGTTATTATCACCGGTCCACCTGATGCCCCGGCGGCCTCCCCGGCGGCCCCGAAGTACTACGACAGGCAGTATCGCACTCTGACGTGCTCTGACCGGGGGCGGGCCGTGTACAACACGACGGAGGGGAGGACAGCGCGGGGCGGGCTTGAGGGTTGTCCCGGCGGCGGGTCGCGCGGGGGTAGGAGAGGGGGGCGCGGGGGCAAAGGGGTTGATTAACATGACAATCGGACTGCTATTCCGGAATGCACCCCCCAACCCCCTTCTGTTATGCCAACACGATATCATCATACCCGCGCGGGCTGTCCCCGGCAGGGCTTTGGCCGGGCGCAGACGGGGTGCCCCTGGACCGGAGTCGCTATGGTAAACAAGTGCGGGCGCGGCGGGTGCCGCCGGGGACACCCCGCCGCGGTGTGTGTCGCAGGTGAACACAAAGGGGTCGGTGTCGGCTGAAGGCCAGCACAGCCGAGCCGCCCAGCGGCCGCCTCGAGTATATGAGGAACTGGCGCAGCATGGCCCGAATGCGCGCGCGCCGAGTTTTTAAACAAATGTCAAAATCGTACAGACGATTTCTCATCCGCCCTCTGGTGCCGCTGCTGCTGGTGGTCCGGCTGCCGCTTGTAGGGGAGGAGGGGGAGGGGGGAGGGGGTGGAGGGCACCCTCCTGGACCAAGATGGATGAGGCTGTGGAGGCTGCGGAGGAAGCTTCCCGCACAGTGAGCACACGGCCTCCGCCCCGCCCCGCCCCAAGCCCCCTCCAGCTCAAATATGCATGCGTGTCAGAGGTGAAATATACGGCGAAACGAACGCGGCGAGGCGGCGGCGGTATGGCGAATGTGGCGGCGCGCTGCACGCGTGACTCGCGTGTGACCTTGAGAGGTGTGACTCGCGTGTGACTCGCCGTGTGATTTACGTGTGACTTACATGTGACTCACTTGTGACTCGCCAGCGGCCTCCGCCCAAAGCGACTCGCGCGATCGCGGATGAGAAACTGTGACGTGCACGACAGGCGGCTCCCCTCAAGCGCGATCAACATCTCGACGCCGTCCTCCCCGTCTCGCAGGTCCACAACGACAACAACAACGGACAGCAGCGGTGCGGATGAAAAATTAAGCGATACAATCGGAACGGCCGCCGCGAGCAGAGCCCCACTGACAAAAGACAGAGAAGGAAAAAAAACAAGGGCAGCAGCCGCGGGGGGATGTGGAGCAAACAGAACAGCGCGGCTCAAAACATTCTCATAGCGGGCAGCCAGCAGGGTGGAAAGCGGCGCGCCCGCTGTCGGCTCGTTTCATATCACTGCTTTATGCTTATTATTCACAAGCACAGCCCTCGCTATCGTCGCGCTGCCCCCCCCCCCCCCCCGCGTGCCCCGCGAAGCATTCTTCCTTCAGCCCCTAAATCACTGATGTGTATTCACTTCGTCCCTCCTCGCGCCCGCCCGCGCCGTCTGACCGAGCCGACCACCCCGTCTGTCTGTCTGTCTGTCTGTGTGTCTGTCTATCTGTCTACCCCTCTACCCGTCCGTCTGCCCGTCCGTCCTTCCGTCTCCACAGGAGCAAGCGCGCGCGCGCTGTCACAGACCCCAGGCACCACACGTAACTTCCTCAAGGGAAGAAGCTTGTCCTTGAGCTCTCTGCGCTGCTGGATGGAAAGCTTTCGAGATTTGCAGAGGGGAGTGTGTGTGTGTGTGTGGTGGGAGGTGGAGGTGGGGGTAACTTTATCACGGTCTCTCCAGAACCATCTACGTATCAACAGCCACCCCGGCGCGGCGCCGCGCCTCTGTGGGGATAAGTACCCCCCCC